GAGAGGGGGGGAGGGGGGGGGGGGGGGAGTGAGGGAGTGAGCGAGAGCTGGAAAGAACGGGGAAGGTGTTATTAGCGCTATTTGTGTCTATCCTTGTAATTAGATGCAAAACAAATATAAAATGATACAAATGGCACTAATAAGGTCTCCCGGAATCCAAAATCAGCAAATAAGTGAATGCCGTAATAACATTAATACACATTATTTGTTACATTATTCATTACTTTATTATTTATTTCAGCTAAAAGTTTAGGCGCTAGGCCATACTTGCCTCCATCGCCATCGTTGCAACCACCACCACCACCACCACCACCACTACTACCACCACCGTCACCACAACCACCACCACCGTCACTACAACCACCACCACCATCACTACCAGCAGCAGCACAAGCACCAGCACCAGCACAAGCACCAGCACCAGCACAAGCACCAGCACCAGCACAAGCACCAGCACCAGCACAAGCACCAGCACAAGCACAAGCACAAGCAGCAGCACAAGCACCACTACTAAACACAATGGAGGTAACAAAAGTAAGTACATAAATGTACACCCACGGTAATTAATTCTGTCCCTCGGAAAATTTCACAAAATAAAAAATGACCCCCTTTCTATATTAATTGTCACAATCCATGCACGATTAACGTTACGACTGAACCTTATCGTGCATTAATAGTGACAATATAGAAAGGAGGTCACTTTTCATTTTGTGAAAATTTTCGAGGGACAGAATTAATTACCGTGGGTGTATATATATAATTTTGGATCCAAAGATCAGGCAAATGAGAGTCAACGTGGTCTTTAGTACGCAATCATCCATTTATTCGTTTAATGTCATGAACGTTTCGACTGTACTTTGGAGTCATCCTCAGTATATAAATTCTTATTCCTCTTTGAATGTTTGAGAAAGTTATAAAATTAATAGATTTGATATACAATCTGAAACATTATGAAAAAGTTGCATTGAAACTTTTGGATAAAAAATCACATAATGTATATAAAATGTTATAAACAATCACAGTAAGATATTACAGTCAATTCAAATAATGTGATCACTTAGACGTGAGCTGAGATGATCACATTATTTGAATTGACTACAATACCTTACTGTAACTGATTGTAACATTTTATACATTATGTGATTTTTTATACAAAGGTTCCAATGCAACTTTTTCTTTATTATTGTACAGGGTGTTTCCGATACATACACATCATTATGTCGGGTTGCCTATCTGATTATCGGCAGAGGCATGCTCATGCACAGGAATCTGCTGACATAGTAATAAGAATAAGATTAGATCGCAATTCCGGCGGGGAATAAGACAAGATAAAATGTATTTTACATTCTGAAATAGTGTAAAATTCAATAATATAATATAAATAAGTATGTATTTAATAATTAAAATATATTTTCCGACGCGCGGAAATTGATACTGTAGTTCGTAAGAAGGCACTCACGCAAATAAGTCTGTATGTTCAAAGAAGAATACTAAAAAATTTAAACCTTTTTATGTAATAATGATATATTATTAATTAAAGGTGCCAGTACAAAATGAACATTCATAAATTGTATGCAACTTTCGGCCGATTTTCGAATCCTCTCTGCCTTCCACTGCCCCCTCACCTCACCGCGCGCGGACCAAATGTCGCACAATGCTCGAGTGACATTTGGACAGCGGTGAGGTGAGGGGGCAGCGGAAGGAAGAGTCGATTCGAAATAATATTGTGATCTGCGCGCGGTGAGATGAGGGGGACAGCGGAAGGCTGAGGCGATTTGAAAATCGGCCGAAAGTTGCATACAATTTATGAATGTTCATTTTGTACTGGCACCTTTAATTAATAATATATCAGTTACTTTTAATAGTAATATATCATTATTACATAAAAAGGTTTAAATTTTTTAGTATTCTTCTTTGAACATACAGATTTATTTGCGTGAGTGCCTTCTTACGAACTACAGTATCAATTTCCGTCGGAAAATATATTTTAATTATTAAATACATACATTATATTATATTATTGAATTTTACACTATTTCAGATTGTAAAATACATTTCATCTTGTCTTATTCCCCGCCGGAATTGCGATATAATATTATTCTTATTACTATGTCGATAAGCAGATTCCTGCGGATGAGCATGCCCCTGCCAATAATCAGATAGGCAACCCGACATAATGATGTGTATGTATCGGAAACACCCTGTACATCAAATCTGTTAATTTTATGGTGACTCTCAAACATTTGAAGAGGAATAAGAATTTATACACTGAGGATGACTCCAAAGTAGAGTAGAAATGTTCATGACATTAAACGAGTAAATGGATAGCTGGACCAGAATAGTATCTCTTCGAATTTTCTATATATCATTGTCATTCATATAACGCACACATATGTACGGAATAGATGGATGTTTGTATATATCACACCTAATTCTTATACACACGTACATAAACACGCTAAATAAATTTTTGTAATATAAACTGTGTATGTATTCATTATTTTATAATGTAACAAATAATGTTAATATTGTTTCAGAAAGTAAACCACGCAGTACGAAGAGCGGTGGCGAACGAGCGGCGGAGATTGAAACAATTCACTGGATTTATCCCAGCGCCGACGATACCAGGATACATTCCGGGAGCGCCGACGACTCCAGGATACATTCCGGGAGCGCCGACAACTTCAGGATACATGCCGGCAGCGGCGACGACACCAGGATGTGTCTCGGCAGTATCGACGACATCAGGATATATTCTGGCAGCATCGACGACACCAGGATATATTCCGGGAGCGCCTACGACACCAGGATACATTCCGGCAGCGCCGATGACACCAGGATATATTCCTACAGCATCGACGACACCAGGGTACATCCCAGTAGCGCCGATGACACCAGGGTACATCCCGGCAGCGCCGACGGCACCAGGGTACGTTCCGGCAGCCCTGACGGCACCAGGGTACATCCCGTCAACGCCAATAATACCAGGATACTTTCCAGGATACGTCCCATCAGCGGGATACGCTTTGTCGGCGGGTCACATCCCGTCGGGTCATTAGTTATTCAGCTTATATATAATAGTCTATTTATCCTGGCAAGTTTTCGTTAATATAATTTGTGCTAATGCACATGGATTGCCGGGGAAAGCTTTGTGAAGAGCTCGAAACAAGCTGTGTTCTGAACCTGTCCATGAGAATTCACTTTTAGTTTTATTTCTTTTACCAATTCCTAATAACATGAAGGGCGCTTGATTTTCAGACTGTGCTTGATCTTACATTATTTCACTAAAGTCTTGTATATTATTTTAAGTGTTCTATATTATTTTATAATGTAACAAATAATGTTAATATTGTTTCAGAAAGTAAATCAAGCGATACGGAGAGCGGTGGCGAAGCAGCAGCGGAGATTGAAATTCGCTGGATTTATCCCAGCACCGACGACTCCAGGCGCTGCCGAGATGTCTCCTGATGTCGTTGGCGCTGCCGGAATGTATCCTGGTGTCGTCGATGCTCCCGGAATATATCCTGGTGTCGTCGGCGTTGGGATAAATCCAGCGAATTTCAATGTCCGCCGCTCCTTCGCTACCGCTCTTCGTACCGCGTGATTTATAATACTTTCTGAAACAATATTAACATTATTTGTTACACTATAAAATAATATAGAACACTTTGTAGGATAACCGTATTGTTGAGTCCTCGGGATCTTAACTAAGACTAACTGCCTCGTTCCTATTCGCACCCGTTTCCCTTTTTCGAGAGAGGGGCCAGAAAACGGGGAGGCCAATTACAATCGATCGCGCGATCTCGCGGCCCAATCATTTATCACCAGCGAACGGCGACCGTTATTCCTTACGCGAAAACACAAGAAATGCCTACAGTTCGGCAATTCTGACATGTTGGCCGCCTCGGCCAAACAAACTGAAATACACTTACATCTAACTATATTTAATGACAAAACTCGCTTATTAATAATTAAGGATATACACTATAAAAACCTTAAAACTAATGACATGAACACAGAAAGTTACAAATTGTTAATGAATATAGGGTCGCATATGATCAGGCGCTACAATTCCCGTGTATGGACGCTGAGTCAGCTGGAATCCATCAATGTCAGTGACAATATATCGATCGTAATCGAGAACCGCTTTTATGACATATGGTCCCTTAAATTTCGGTATTAGTTTCTTATTTATACCGGGTGTGGTTTCGACATTGCGAATCTCGACGTAGTCACCTACTTTATATTCACGTGCACTTTTCCTCCGCAAATTATATCGACATTCATTCTGGGCTTGAACCTTTTCGTTTTTTTCAACTGCTCGGTCTCGGATTTCTTCGAGGTTGCGATCCACATCTGAGTCAAGTATGCTACGTAACGAATCATTGACCTTTCCTTTCTGATCGACTCCAAATAATAATCGTGACGGAGTATCGCCAGTCGCTCGACATACTGTATTGTTTAAAGAATATTCAACATCAACTAAAACTTGATCCCATTTAGAGGGGACTTCACTTAACTTAGCCAACATTGGCGCTAGAATTCTGTTGAAGCGTTCGACCTGACCGTTGGCTCTTGAAGTACTCACCGCGCTAAGAACATGCTGAATGTTTTCGTCTTTTAAAAACTCAGTAAACAAATCAGATGTGAAACACGTGCCTCGGTCCGACACTAAGGGTGCGTTCCGATATGCACTGCCAGTAGTGGCAGCACTGCGAATGCCGTTCCGATATACATTGCAGTAAACTTTGAGGGTATCGTTATACGTATATGACGTCATAGATTTTGTTGTCATTTCCTGCTTACATTACTGTGGCTCACGAGGTGAGGCATTCGCAGTAGAAACATGGCGGCGTCCGTAGAAGAAATTTGTCTCATAGATGCTGAAATGAATAAAGAATATATAATTCTTTTAAACGGATTAGATGCAGAGAAAGCACGAACAGGTATAAAGGCAATTATAATAATTACAATTATCATAAATCTAAATATTGTTTTAATTTGCAGATGTAAATTTTGCTACCCAATTACTAGAAAAAGCTAAACGGGATGCTGCCGTACAATCTATAGAAAGTAATACATTACTAGTTACAAATAATGGTAATATTATTATTACATAAATAAAGAACAACAATAGACAAATCCACATTTTATAAAAATAAAGTAAATTAGTTCTAAAGTTAAAGTGGAAAAATACTATTGTAATATCAGAGACAATGTTATAGAGCTAACCTATATACTTGTATTTTTCTTATCACTCTAACTTTAGAGTTCATATATATTATTTTTAAAAACTGTGTGTGTGTGTGTGTGTGTGTGTGTGTGTGTGTGTGTGCGTGCGTGCGTGCGTGCGTGCGTGTGTGTGTGAGTGTGTGTGTTATTAAAAATATATTTTAAATACAATGTACTTAATACCTTTAATACACTAAATACATATATGGATTTAAAATATTAAAAAATAAAAAAAAATATTAAAATATATAAATCTGTAAAAACAGAAGTAACTTACTTGTAGCTGAATCGAGTGAAAACCTTTTCTATTAATATAAGAATCATGGTGATCTTTTGGTGCAGTAATTTTTATATGTGTGCCATCTATTGCACCTATGACTCCGGGAAAAGTTTGATTTCGTTGAATTGTTTCTATAGTTTTTTCTGCTTTCTCCCTAGTCGGCCATCGAATAAATTTTGTTACGTTTGCATACAAAGCATTCACTACTCTTTGAACACTTCGCCACGCTGTAGCTTTGCCAACATCAAATCTATCTGAAACACATCTAATAAATAGTTCATTTGTTAAATACTTTAAATATAAGAAACATGATATCAAATGTCTCAAATAATATAAATAAAGGTATAAAGATCAAGGCTACTTTTACTTTAAATATAAATTTATAATTTGACAGTTTATGTGAATATTTATTTGTAGGTACCTATAGGAATTTGATGTAACCATTGTCCATATGGCTATAAGTAGCTGTTTTTCAGGTGATATTGGATGTCTACCGAATTCTTTACTTTGTTTACACAATTGTGGTTTTAACAATTCCAATAAAAATTGGAAAGTACTACGTTTCATTCTAAAACAATGCATATTATATTACTTTGACAGTTTTTCTTCATATCTTATGAATCATGAACTGTAATATTTTTATTGTACAGCGCTTACAATAATTTTAACAAATATAATTTTAACATTATTGGACATAAATGATAATTCTTGCTAAAAAAATTTTCAGGCACGTATTTATGTAAATATACATGTTATGTATATTTATATCTATATATATTTGTGAATGGAAAATTCGTTATCGAGTTAATACATTATACAAAGAAAACATTATTGAATTAATTAAATTGTTTCATAGTATTTACGTTTACTTACCGAAAATGCATTTTAAATTCTATATCTGTGTATAATGGTACAACATTTTCCACATAATTTGCGCAACGTGCATGTAGCATTAAACATTTTTTATAAAAAGTCATTATTAATAACGACTCAATTTCTTCTTCGCTTTCGCTGTCTGAATCACTATCTGAAGCAATTAAATGCTTCGCTAATTCCAGTATAACGAGTTTTTCAGCCATATCGTTCCGATATCAGCACACCAGCACTGGCAGTACTGCGAATGCCGTTCCGTTATAGCAGCTACAATAAGCATAAAAGTAGGATTATCAATTTTGAAACGGTTTCGCAGCATTGCTTTATGACGTCATGCTGCCAGTGCTGGCAGTGCATATCGGAACGCACCCTAAACGCTTCGGCTTACTATAAACATGAAAGTAGTCACGCAAACATTTTATTACTTCATCCGTCGTGGTAGATTTACAGGGGTAAACTCTGACAAATTTTGTAAATGCATCAACGATAACGAGGATGTATCGGTAACCTTTTCCAGTCTTTTCTAATGGACCAAAATGGTCTATATGTATGGTCGCAAACGATAATTTCTCTTTCGGTATACTATGCAGAAATCCCTCTGCCTTACCACTCGGTGGCGAGAATTCGATTCAGCGTGAACAGTTCGCTATATGTTCTTTTACTTTTTTGCGCATCTCCGGGAACTAGTATACTTTCAAAATATTGCTAACAACCTTGTCGATGCCAACGTGTCCGATGTCATCGTGGCACGTTCTGATCACGTTGATTTCCATCGTTCGCGGAACGTAAAACAATAATTTTTGATTCTTATCTTTCCGATAGACAAGGCCGTCACGCAACTCGTATAGTTTGACTTCACCTTTTTCGAGTTTTTCCCGAATTTTAAGGATTTCACTGTCTCGATCCTGGCAAATGGATAAAGTTCGCTTGAACGTACTACCCTCTAACACCAGTACGCTATGGCATCAACTCAGTGCGTCTACATGACCCATTCGCTTTCCCGGTCTATGTACTATTTCATAATTATAATTCTGTAAGAACAACGCCCAACGAGAAATGCGCGGATTAATCTCCTTCTTATTTAATGTGAGATGAAAACTATCACAGTCAGTGACTATCCGAAACTTTTGTCCGGCCAAATATATGTGAAACCTCTTTAACGCGTAGACTACGGCAATACATTCTAGTTCGTAGCTATGGTATTTAGCCTCGGTGGGTGTTGTTCGCTGGCTCCAAAAGGAAATGGGTTTCCATACCCCATCATCCTGTTTTTGTAAGAGAATTCCACCGAATCCACTGGCACTTGCATCGCAATGCAGTTCTGTGTCTATGTTCGGCGAATAAATCGCTAACACTGGCTACTTGCTAAACGACACTTTAAGGCCTCGAATGCCTCGTGTTCCGCGACACCAAAAGTAAAAGCAACGTTCTTTTTTATCAGTTCGTATAACGGTTTAGCCACTAATGAGAAATTAGGAACAAATTTACGAAAGTAGCTCGCGAGACCGACAAAACGATGAACTTCCTTTGCATTCCTCGGAATAGGATTATCCAATTTAACACAGCCTCAATATTTTCATCGTTCGGTCGTATGCCATATTGATTCACATAATATCCGAGATACTTTATTTCGGTCTGCATAAAATAGCATTTGTCCATACGAAACTGCAAATGATTCTTTCCAGCCAACATAAATAGTTCTGATAAAATTTCAAAATGTTCATCGATACTCTCTGTAGCAATTAAAATGTCGTCAAGATATAGTAATACTTTATGCTCTCTTGAGAGCTTATCAAATACTAAATGTACAAAACGCTGAAACATGCGCGGAGTGTTTGTCAAACCGAAGGGCATTCTTAAATACTCGTACTGGCCCAACGGTGTCACAAAAGATGTGAACTTCACAGATTCTTCATGCATTTTGACATGATGGAATCCATCTTTTAAGTCTAGTATGGAGAAATACTTCTTATTTCGCAGACGATCGATATTATCATCGATGAGTTCAGTCGGGAAGTTATCACGTACCGTAATTTTATTGAGTTCGCGAAAATAGACTCATAGGCGGTGCTCACCATTCTTTTTTAAAACCAAAACTATCGGGCTAGCGTACGGCTATTATATACTCGGTCGAATTATTTCTTTTTTCATTAATTCATCCAAAATTTTCCGCAATGACTCTCTGTCAGCAAAAGATAGTCTACGAGGACGCGCGCTTATTGGTTGATCATGTTTTAAAACTATTTTCATTTGAAAATCAAGTTTATCGTTGCTCATCTGAAAATTCTTAACATAATCGGATTTATAAATTTCACGAACCTTATCGCTTTTATCTCGATCCATCTCCGGATTAATCTGTAACTCATCATGTTGACTGCTAAATTGTTCGACAACGGCGACGCTCATCATTTGCTCGCTACACGCCTCGTCTACCCTAGAGTCCTAGATATCAGAGAAGCGCAACCGATGTTCCGCGTCCTGATTAGCTGACTGTCAGCCAATCATGACATTCATTCAGTGGTATTAAAAATGGCTGACTAATAAACGATTGGTGGATTTCATATTTCGTCTGCAAACGACGCCATTTTTAATACTTTTCTTAGTAATTTTGCGATACTGACTTAAGCCGGTTGCGCTTCTCTGATATCTAGGACTCTAGTCTACCCTTACAATTTAGATAGTATCTCCCAACGTAACGCGCAACCGCGGGCATGCTAAAAAGTCTCTACCCAATAATACTTTAAATGCCATCGTGTCATCGGGTACCGTGTAAAATTTTATCTTAGTGCATACACCCTGCACTTCTACATTACCATAGAAAACTTTCAATGTTTTAAGACGCGAGCTATTTATTCCACAAAATTGACCGACATCTTTACCCAGCGGGTCGCAAACATCACTTTCAACAAAGCTATCGCGAATAAGACTAATTGGTGAACCCGAATCGACCACCGCATCTATTACATACGTGTCTGTCTTACCACATCGATTGTTAGGAGAAATTTTAATAGTAATCATATACGGATTCGGTAACGCAACTGGCTGTATGGCATTCATCGACGTCGTCTGTGCAGATTTCACTCCAGCCTCCGTGGTAGCAGGTTGTTTACGTTCAGGACACTCCCTCGCCAAATTCTCCGTCGAACTGCACACAAAACAAGCTCACTTATCTGTCGACGCCGACGCAGTTGGACGTTTGCAGAACTTAGAAATGTGCCCCCACTCATTGCACTTGTGACACTTGATGGTCTTGCCTTTTGCCGAAGGCGCCTCCGCCTTTGCACTGAGTGACTTCGCAATCTCCTTCTTCTGTTTCTGATCGTTGGATTTCTTAGAGTCAAGACTAATCTTCTCGAAAGACTTCAATAATTCCATTCTTGACTGGAAGTGCATTATGCGTGCTTGATTCT